TGGTTTCCAAACAAGCAAGATCGAATAATACAACACTTTAAAAAATGTCCTAATTTTCTTTCTAAGACAAGTATTGAGCAACAAACAATAATCTTTAAGCTTAACGATAATAACAAGAGAATACTTAATGGTTTATTTAGATTATTATAATAATATTAATGATATAATTATTTTTATTTAGATTATTATAATAATATTAATAATATAATTATTTTATAATTAATCTGTTTTTATTATAGATTCTTCAGAATATGTGATGTCTATTTGTACTTCCTTTTTATTAACAAATTCTTCATGCAAAGTTATAATCCGATCCTCATCATATGGACCTATGGATAATTATATTGTTAGATCTTTATTCAAAGAAGATAAAAAAAAGTTTGATACATTATTACTTCAACTTACAGTTTCTTGTGAATGGGCATTATCATGGGTGAACAATCTGGAAGCCAAAGAATTGTTTAATTTTTTAAATCCTTTTCTTAAATTACCTGATCGTCGTACTTTTGGTGATCGAATTTTAAAACAAACTATAGCTAAATTTGACAAAACGATGGAAATTGCACTTAAAGATGATTCAGTAGGTGTAACTTTATGTTTTGATGGATGGACTAATGTACAAAAAGAACAGCTATTAGGAACTATAATAAAAACATCTGATAGAAAACCATATATCTGGAAAGCAGTTGATATTGGAACAGAACAGGAAACATATGTTGAGGTGATAGCCAAAACTGAAAATATGCTTAATGAACTAAAGACAAAAAATATTACTGTATATGTGATTGTTACTGATAGTGCAGCAACATATGCAGCAGCTTGGTATGTTAATTATTTATTAACTTTTTTATTTTATTCAAAAGAATATTAATTAATTAATTATTTATTTTAATAAGTTGTCATTTAAGATTATCCAACAAACAAATTGTATTTTTATCATGTTTTGCACACTAGATTAATCTGTGTAGGTGAAATTTTCAAAGAATTAATTGAATTTAAGAATAGTATTAATGATGCTATTCGTCTCGTAACCTATTTTAAGAATGCAAACAATAGATTCTTTATTGCATGTTTATGTGATCTTCAATATGAGATCTATAAAAAACATATTACACTAGTAATGCCAGGAGAAACTTGATAGAACAGTTTTTATTCAATATGCAATAGCATTTTAAAAACACAAAAAGCATTGCAAGTAAGTATTTTTAATAATACTTTAAATATATAATCTGTGTTTATTATTTACATTTTTTTTATAGATATTAGCTGTTAAATATGAACCACCACTTTTAGAAAGTCATCACAAACCAGGAAATAATCTTACATTACTCAGAGAAATATTTGAAATTATTATGTCTGATATCTTTTGGGATCAACTTGTACATATTGTTGAAATCCTTGAGCCCTATTGCAAACTGCTTAATATCTTACAGTGTGATAAAGCACGATTATTTCCAGTAGTGCATAGTTTAAGTTATCTTGTTCAATTTTGGCAAAAATCTTTATATAGTGTACTTGCGACACAATTAATTACTCGATTGGAACGACGTTGGGAAGGATGGGAACAACCAATTCTCTTATTGTCTTGTTTATTACATCCTGAATATCGAATGAAAAAATTTAGTAATATATGCTCCAAAATTAACTATTTAGAGTTTGGAAAATGGCTTATATATTACTATCGGGCATGGTCAGGAAAGGAACCAACATGTATTCTTTGTGAATTTGATGATTTTCGGCTAGAAAAATATCCATTTGATTATGATACATATAAACAGTTTAATGGAGATGTTTGGCGCTATTGGGGTTATGTAAATGTTTCAACAAATGAACTGGGTTTTGTAGCCTGTAGAATTTTTGGAATATGTGTAAATGCAGCTTCTGTTGAATGGCTTTGGAGTTGTATGGGTTTTTTACAAAACAATCGACGCAATCGGTTAATGGTATGTTGTTGATTATATTTGTATTTTTATTATTTTTCTTAATACAATTTTGTATATTACTATTACACAGTCATCGAAAATACTTGAAATGAGTCAATTAAGTTCTGATATTATATATAACTATCGTCTTTATTTCAATTCTTCAATGGTGACAATTACATCAGATGAATCATCATCTACTACTATACTAGATAAAAATATCAAATCATTTAACACTAACGATCAAAATAATGATTTTGACAATTCAAACAATGCAGATGCTGAAGAGATGAACAATGTGGAAGAAGAGGATTTAGATTATAAAGCAGATAGTGAAATAATAAATGAAGACTCTGGTGGTGAAACTGAATTGCAGACAGGTTTCTTGAAAAATAACTTTCATGAGTATCTTCAAGGTTGGGCAAACATGTTAGAGAAGGAAAGACAAGAAACTTTTGAAGAAGGGGTGAGTCATACGAAGACAAAATTACATTATTAGATCATATATGCCATCCTGCAGTTGATGTGAATGCTAAATGGAAATTGAAAACGCTTTTCAAGGAAAATCTTCCTTTACCTTTTTAGTATATACTAGTAAAATTTTGGATACAACCGACTTTTAACTACAATATATTCGTTTCAGCACAGGCATGCAACACAATATCATCCTGTTGTTGTGATTTGTGGAGAAAATTAAGGTGGAAAATTGGGAAAGTTTAGTGGCGGAAATTTCTAGTAAACATTTAAATAATAGGCGCATATATAAATATATGCGCATTTAGAAAAGAGATGTTTATAGTTAGTTTAGAGCGCATTAAGTAATAACCAATAAAGTAACGTTTTAGAAATAAACTCTTACCTTGTTTTCCAGTGCGCCGTAAATACTTGTGACTTGTTTTACGCGACTAGACGATAGAACCGAGGTTTTGTCTAAGGAAATTGACATAGGAAGGGTTCTAGGTTAGTCGATAAGAAAAGTTAAAGACCGGCTAAATCGAGAACACACCTCAAGAGTTAGAGAAACTTATCTTATGTGAGCCGAACGTAAAGATCAGCAGTGTGGGCTTGCCAGATAGCTCATGACATTTGGTGGTGAACCGTGAGATTCGAATATCAACATATCCGAAGATAACGTTCATTACCCCCCCAATAAAATTTCACAAACGCAATTAATTAATTGACTAATTAGAAAAATGACATCATTTCCAAACAGAGACTTACCTTACCTTTTCAAGTCGCCCGTGACAAACCCGTGCCAAACGTGTGATCAGATCCTTTTTTTAAAAAAAAAAAAAAATGGTTAGACTTTGATTTGCGTGACAACAAAAGTAATTCCGATGGTCACCAAACTTACCGTTGTCTGCAAGACGTGCTACGGGAACTAGCAGAAGCTTTCGTTGATCTCGCAGACCCAAATGCAGGAATGGTGAAGAGGAAGCACGATGACTAGGATCCGCAAGTTTAAGGAAGAAAGAGGAAAAGTCCGTACTCATGGCTGGAGTGATACGAGGAGTTCGCAGAAATCAACGGGTGGACGAGTGATCAAAAACGGAGATGGGTATTAATTATCTGGAGGGACGTGTGGTGGACTGGTACGAAGTCTGCCAAGATCGCTTCAACTATTGGAACAATAGGAGCGACCATAGGAAAGCTTTGTGCCAGCCTTCCTTCGATGCTTTGTGACGCTTGAGCAATGACGGCAGTGGCTGTCAGAGCTCGCGAAACTTAAGCAAGGCAATACGCCTGACGATTTTGGGATCTGCTAAGAAGAGTTGACCCTGACGATATCAACCCTGGAAGGGATGAGGTGAAAGCGTTTGTAGGAGGGTTGAAGAGTACATGGGGTTTGGGCTGTGCGGAACAAACACGAAACCAACGAAGGGACCGAACAAGCCCACATCAACGAAGGAACAAGGTAAGGTTGCACCGAAAGGAGAACCGACGAAACCACCTAACAGGAGCCACAAGAAAATCAATATCACGGATGAGCCAATCAGTGAGCCTGGGCCCACCACTACTGTCCGTTCGGTCGTCCCCATTCCAAACCACGCCACGGATGCATCACGACCAAAGGAATTGCTACCACTAACAGGAAGCAAAGATATCCCAAGCATTATCATGGATAAGTCACAGAGGAACCACCGTTACTAACGGAAGGGATCAAAAGGGAAACAGGGGAAAGACCTACGGGTAAAGGGACGAAGGTGAAACAAGACGATGACATGCTGAGGGAGACAAACAAACTACCTGATGGGAAACTGGGGAGAGTGAGCAGTAAACCCGAGCCCACCGTTACTGTCCGATCGGTTGCCCCAAACCGCACCACAGACAGACACATCACGACTGAAGGAATCACCATCACCAACAGGAAACAAAGGTGAGACAATAGTGAGGGAACAAAACGTCGTCATAATGATGACGACAAATAAAGAAAAACTGCAAAAGGGATCCACGGAAATATCACGATATACCACCGGCATCAGTGATGTTACCCCAATCAAACGAGACAAGTACAAAGTTGATCAAGGCGCGGGGGAGCCGATCATAAAAAGAACGACACGCATGAACATGAGAAATATGTTTAGTGATAACAAATCATACGACTTACCTGGGATGCATCAACAACTCATGAGTGTACTTTATCGCGATCTCGTGATGGAGCTCGACGTCGACATTTCATCCGAGAAAAAGATCAGGGAAATCAGAGTCTCCCGTCTATCACGTGACCATACTGCACTGATGAAACTCCGCCAACCGATACCTGTAAAAGTCTTAAAGAAACTGTTAATAATTTCAAAAGACAGTGAACTTTAGTGTTTTAATTGTAAACGCCAACAGA